CAGATGTCACATGAGTTTCCTTCACACAAACATCACATGTAAATTTAACTTCTTGGTACTGTGCTTTAAGAACAAAAGCAGGTATCAGAACATGGAGGACAGCCCTCCAGAAATAGCTTATCAGCTACAGAAAATAAGAAAGGAGACAGTGGCCACTTACAAGTCTTCCACATGACTAGCTTGCTTTAAGGAGAGCATCAAGTTAAGGCAGTGTTGAGACAACTGGCTAAGAATATACCAAACAAAGCTGTTGTCAGTAGTCACCAATTTGATAGCCTAGTCCATTGGGGGATGGGCCACAAGGCCAGCCTTAGATCTTAGCAGCAAGGTCTAAAGACTTCAGCCACAGCGTGCCGCTTTCTGCTCCACACCAGCAACTCAAGGGAGATGTTTATTGAAGTCTTCTAGACCAGGCTGAGTTGCTTACAAGTCTAGCTCAGTATGTTTCAGCAGAGCCAGAAATACAGTGATGGGCACTGGAAAAAGAACAAACACTGAGGGTGCCAGCTGCAAGTCTGTTTATCACAGTCCAAGGTGGAGTTCAACTTTTGGATGAAAATGCCACTAACAAGAGCCACCCCACCAACTTTCAGGGAAGGTCTAAGTACCTGCACTGAGGTTACTGGGAGAGCCAGCTCTCTACAGTCTGCAGGGTGGGTACAGAGGCTCACGCTGGCATTGCTCCTCATTTCGAGAGTAACAGTCTAATAAAACTTGATAAGGAAGTCAACAAGGTCTTTTTTTGGCCTGCCCAAAGAAGTTTTCCCAGCCTCAAAGAAGGAATTACCACTGAGGGAGCTGTTGTGGAATAGTTTTATTTCTTCCCACGTAAAGGCCATTGTTTAAGCATTTACAGGTTTTTCCTAGTGCAATACAACAAAAAAGCAGTAACAAAAAATGCCGCCTTCTTCCCAGGCAACTAAACAGAAGTAGATTTTTACTGCAACATATACACATTAAATATAGTATACAGTCCATGCAGCGGCATAGCCATGTTAAAGGGAGTCGTGGCTTCAGCCATCAGTGCATTACAGTCCAAGTTTCACTTGCTCCTACTTCCTATCCAGACTTGAAGAGGAGAATTGCAACCTGACCCAAGTAAAAATAGATGAAGTGCTTTGTCTCATGTGTTACATAGCTGCCAAAGTTTCTGCCAACAATGCAGTGCCAAGTTGGGTTGTATTTCTTGTCAAATTCCTGAAGAAACAGAGAATAGAGGCATTAAGGCCAAGAAAGCCCACATGAAAATAGTTCTAAGCACAAATTCTTAGCTGGTTCTGTTCATACACTAACGCCTCTCCTCCCACCTGCAGTGTCTTTAGATTCCCCATTGCAATACACTATTGTATTAAGGAGGGTACTGACTGACACAAGCCAGACCTCTGCACTGGATTGTTTGAATGATCCAGCACAAGCAAATCCTCTCAAGACTGCACACACACCAGCCCTGGGCAGAAAGAGCAGATTTAAGAGCTCTTCTTGGTAAAGTGCTATTCAAGCCATGCATGTAGGCTAGCTCAAGGGAACATTTCTCCTCTCCCATTCCAAGCCCACTCACAAAAAATAAAAAAAGATTTTGGCATGTCTGCTCTACCAAGGCATTTGAGCTTAAAGGTCACCTAAAAAAGGAAGAAGTCTGACTTCTACTGTTTAGGACTCTTGTTCACAAAGGAGAGAAAGAACCTGCAGTGAAAATGAGCAGGAAAATTCATAGGCCAGACAGCATGTGAAGGCCTGAGAGGTCAGAGGCGAGTAAGCTGAATACTGACTTAGTCTTTTAATTTTTTGGCAGGGAGAAAAGGGTTAAAGACCATTTCCTTCCCTCTAACTGCTACTCTCCCAAGAACACCCTTCCCAGCCCTGAGAGCGCCAGAAGAACAGACTCAACATCGAAGATTAAAGCAAGCGTTAGTTCTCAGACAGCAGCAAGAGTTTAAGCTCTTTGCAGGTAACCTTTGAAATAAGGAAAAGCTTTCTTGCCAGGGCATGAAGGTGCATCAAATTGTTGCTTCCCTCCTCCCAACACACACTCTTAGGAAATAAAGCCAAACTTTTTCGGAAGTCTTTTGCTGCATTCATTCCCTTTATAGGCTGCACTGCCCCAAGCATTTTGGGATAAATCTTGCCTCATCAGATGAAAGTGATCTGAGAAGTTATAAGACACCTTTGAATCCTGTACATTTAAGCTTAGATTACAAGCAAGATCCAAAAGCTAGCCCAGGTGCCAGGACTGCATGACCTAGGTAACTGCATTTTCCTCCTTCAAAAGCACTTTGCCTGACCACAGGCAGAAGTGGCTACACAGAGGGAACTGACAGCTCCCCAGACACTGTCAAGCATGTGACTAAGCTGATGGCCTCCTGTAAACAGGCACCTTCTTGTGAGTCAGGACAATTGCTTGCACTGCTTTTAAAGCAGCATCTTCACACAATCTTGCTGGCTAACGCAAGACCCCATCCTCCTCCACATACCCACCCACCACAGTGCCACAAACACAGCAGAACAGAGCTACACATGCACAGCTGCGTTTAGCCCAGACTAGGCAGCACACCCACTTGTAAGTGAAACTTCAGAGTAATCCCACCTCTGCACTGCTACTGCAAGTCAAGTTTAAGCAGCAGCAGCATCTGTGGAGCAAGTCCTAACAAGCAACTACAGCCAGCTCTTTCCAGGCTGGCAAATTCAGAGGGACAGCAGTCATGCCATTTGCTCAGAGCCTGCCAGAGCAAGAGACCAGGCCTCACTCTGCCATAGCTTTCCTCTGACCTTGTAGAAGACATTCCATCCCCTTGGAATTAGCAGCAGAGCAGAGAAGAAAGCATTTCCTCCCTCCGAACAGGGGAGCACGAAGTCTCAGACAAACAGACCCATGACAGGCACATGTACATAAGTGCTTCAGTAACTCACAACCAGAGCAGCCCCCCTCTCCCCTTAGTTACCTTCTTTATGTATGCTGCAATGTCCTTTTCTATGTTGTACTTCTCCATTGCCTGTGTAGCACAGTCTACAGCATCCTGCTGCATGTCCTCAGACATGTCTGCATTCTTGATCACAGCCTTTCTGTCAGACATCGTGAACCTAAGGCAGAACATAGATTCCTTTAATCCCTTCCCAAGGGAGGAGCCCTCCAGTGCATCAGAGGTTGTCCTTCCTATGGCAGGCTGCGTCACAAGCTAATACTACAAAACCCCTATTGCACCCCCAGTGATGATATCAGGGTAGCCTACAGTGGTCCCAGACAAAGATTCTCCTTACAGCTGGAACACCGTAGCATTGGCACAGTCTGGAGGTTAGACCAGAAATAGTCCAACATCACCACCTGCATTAAACACATGCAGAAAAGGCTTACTGTGTGGGAGGAGACGAGAGCTGCAGAGAGACATAGCCCTCCTGCACATCAATACATCACAGCCAAGTTTGCTTTCAAGGTGCACCAGCAGTTTGGAGCCTCAGCTGTTCAGAGCCTTGCAAGCAGGAGACCCTGAACTGCCCATCTCCAGTATCATGGCTCAGGAAGCATGCAGTGCTTTTACTTCACCCCACGCTAAGAGTTGCAGTTACTGTTTCTAGTTCAGCCTAGAATGAGAGCTCTTCCACATCCAGCCTGTCATTCCCTCACCTCACCACTGGTTTGCTGCTGAAACCTAGACTTCAGCTGTTCACATGCAAAGCAGGTCTGAGAGACCAGGAACAGGTTAACACCATGCTGCTGCAGCCTAGGAACACTAGGCCTGGAGGGGAAACAAGCCCCACCACAGAGCTGGCACAGCCAGGGCCCTAGCAAATGGCCTCCAGTTTTTCTTCCTCTGCATGTGAGCCACAACACAGGTCCTGGAAACCAGCATGCCAGTACTATATGACCTTTAAGAAACCAGAAAGTGGCACATTTGATCTGAATGCTTAATTACCTTACAGGGTGAAAGGGGTCAAGGTGTTTTGTACTAGTCAGTGTGGAGCCATTTACATGTAGGTCTTCCATGGCCTTTTCAAGGAGGCATTCAGCATTGGGAAGTTTTCTGTGCAGTTCATGTTGCCACAGAAAGTGGTTTTTTGCAATCCCAGTCCTGATGTCTGTCTTCAAGCAAAGGTCCCAAACGCATACACTAGCAAAGAAGCCCTGTGCAGTCCTACTGCTGACCAGTGCACTCTAACACCCTCTCAGGACACCAGGCCCACTGCTCCCAAACCATAACACGTGCCTCGCTGACTGGGCCTTGTATATCCGGGGGGACTAATCAGGTGAAGGCCTGCGCCGAGAAGGACCACTGCTGGTCACCTTGGCAGCAGTACTTGCTAGAGTACCTTAAAACTGTGAGAATAAGCCTCTTAACGGCAAGGAGTGCCTTCAATTAAGCTTGCAGAGCACCATTAAGTTTACTAAACTCTTTAAGTCTGGGCTGTAAGTCTGAGCTATACTACCAAAGATGTTTTGAGGTAGTGAAACTACACATTTTTAGCTCCACTGGGGAGCGGAGAAAATCTGCTGCAATGATTGCTTCCTGGAACAGTCCCAGAAAACTGAAGGAGTAGCTTTGTTACAGCAATTAAATGAGCCTGCTAACCAGAGAGAAAGAGAATCCAGTTACATAATTGCAACCCTATGATTACAATACTTCAATTCTTCACTCTGCCTGTAGTTGAAGACTTCTATTGCAACCTTAATTTATACGTTTTAGATATGTTTAATAGAGCACTGCTATTAGCATACACTAATAGCATCAGGAGGAACATAAACTGAGCTCAAATGCCAGAGAGCGCATGCCTCTATCACAGCGCTGAGGAAAACATTTCCAGCCAGTTTGTTTCCTTCTGCACTGTGATTTAAGCCAGTGGGTTTTAGCCTACAGCTCAAAAACAACCCTGGCAGGGCAAAACAGCTAAGAAAAGCCAAATCAACTGGATTTGGATTTACTACCCAGAGGGCTGGCCTCCTTTGGCAAAAATCTTCTGGGGTTCCAGCACACAAGAAAAGAAAGCAATAGAAATTTAGTTTAGGGTCATTTTTTCCTAGGAAGACCTCTTCAGAAAGAGAGGAGGGTATGTTTGAAGTCTCAGGCACATCAGGCCTTCACATGCCCCTGCTATATCCTGAGTTCAGAGGACATTTACCATTACATAGCTAGTCATCAAGTAACCTGCGGAAATCATTTTCCTTCTTTGCTGTTTAGGCCAGGAGCACATCCACGCAGGCCCACCCTGCCAAGGGCCAACAGTACCATAGGAGAAAAAACAATTATCCTTCCCTAGAGCTGCAAATGTTGGCCAGTCTGCCCTCCCCAGCACTGCACTGCTCCAGGGCAGAGCAGCCTTTGCAGGGCAGCCCTGGCAGGGGGCTGGTGGCTAAAGCCAGCTGCGCTGCTGGCAGGAGGGTCCCTGCGCCTGCTGTGGCTCAGGGAGCAACTCCCATGTGCCACCCTTACGCTGACCCGCAGACCACATAGAAGGGCCCCAGCCCTGACTCATCCCCCATGCAGTCAAGGGTGCACCCCCTGTAAGGCAGCCCAGCACCACTATGTACACACCTTATCCCCAAACTACAGACCATGGCCAGCCCTCAGGGTCTTGCCACCCAAGCCCAGCCCTATATGGGGGATGGGCAGAGCCCCCACACACAACTCAGTAGAAACACAGCCCCAGCACCCACCCCTCCCCTTCAGGGCAGGATGAGGCTGTGGGGGAAGAAAGAGGGTACAGCCCCAGCAACCACCCTTATGCCAGGACAGGGCAGGATGGGGCCTTGAGAAAGGTGGCCACAGCCCCCACACCATCCTAGGGCAGGATGAGACCTTGGGCTTCAGCCACAGCCCAGCACCCCCAACACAACGCCCAGATCCCCTTCAGTACCCTCATGACAAG